CTAAAGAAGATTGAAAGCATTGGAAGTGCTCACGCAGGACACCCATTTTCAACATGATGACCATCTCACTGACTTGGAAGACGACATTGCTGAATTTGGGAGTGGATATTAGTTTGTCAAACGCGGATATTTGTTTAGCAGGCTACGATATTTCTCTACGTTGTAAGGATATTAGTATGCATTGTAGGGATATGTCTTTTGGTTCTACAAATATTCTCTAAACATTCGGATATTTTTGTTATATTTTATGTACGTGGTTGTGTGGAATTTATGTATTTCCATCACATATGCTCAGATTGTAGTTTGGATGTTTTGGATATCACTTTGGGTAATATGATATATTTTTGTTGAAGGAAAGATATTCTTAATCCATCCTTGATAAAAAAAAAATCAGGGATACACTTAGTGTTGTCTACTTTAAACTAATAAAGCGAGCAATCAGGATAGAGTTAGTGTCTACTTTTGTCCAAAAATTCTCAAAATAACCCAATCACCTTAAACTAATAAAGCGAGCAATCAGGATAGAGTTAGTGTCTCCTTTTGTCCAAAACTTCCCAAAATAACCCAATCACCTTAATACCTTAACATCTACATATGTCAAATGAAACAGCTGGTGGTTAGTTTCAGCTTCTCTTCCCTTTCTCCTTCTGTGTTGCCCACTCATTTGCCTCCTCAAGTATGACATTCCTTACTTTGTTGTATTGCCATCGAAGGAGACTGCCTACAATAGATTCTCGCTGGTGCTCCACGTGCTTTGCCAAGTGCCAAGTTTCCTAGTATTCCAATGGAATGTGACCAGCCCAGTGCTATATGAACATGCATACGAACACTCCACACTCATTGTTTCCTTTTTGTTGAGGAACATCCGCAATTAAGAATTCCCAATCATGCAAGGGAGCATCGATGTTGTGCTTTGCAAGGAAAGCAGCTTCATACTCTAATATCAATTTTTCCATTGGACTATGATCCCACTTGGCCACTGCTGGCTTGGGTTTTTGGCTGTCCAGAAGGAAAGTCTTCTGACTCCTTAGATCAGCAGCGTAGACCCGGTAGTGATGGTTTGCATGCACAGGGGAAAAAATCTGTAACATAGAACACATAATTATTTATCCACGAAACCCAAAAGAAAATCTCGACAACCCAGACAACTATCCAAACTAACATATCAGATATAAACAGGCAAATCTTCAGACAAATCAGTTATTCTCTCGAAAAAATATCCAATAAACCCAGACTAGTATCCAAAACTAACATTTCAGATATTCACAGGCAAATCTTCAAACAAATCAGTTATTCTCTCGGAAAAATATCCAATAAACCCAGACTAGTATCCAAAACTAACATTTCAAATATTCACAGCCAAATTTTCAAACAAATCAGTTATTCTCTCGGAAAAATATCCAATAAACCCACACTAGTATCCACAAAACGTATATCAGTATCAAGATAGAATAAGGATTCACTTACATATTCTAATTTATCCCATACAACCCGTTTGAGGACGGGGCACATTCTTCTGATCATTAAGTAAGGCAAGTTGCTGTTTGCAAAGGAAAATAAAAGCTAATTAGTTACTGGATATCTAAATATTGTAAGGTGTGAGTGAAGAGCACACTTACACCAAAAGTGAACGGAAAGATAAGTTTGTTCAATCCACCAGCAAATTCTTTGTCGTTCAAGAAATGACCATAAGCATCAATCACTTGGATATTGACCCACTCTAATCGCTTCAATGTCAACAGATGAAGACAGACGAGTTTAATTGAAGGAGTGTGCACTACCAAGCCCTTAGCCTCAAGGGAAACTCGTTAAAAATCGCTCGTGTTCTTGTTCATTTTCTTTCCTTCTCTTTCTGCTGCATTCCTCTGTTTTTATTTCTTTCTGTTGACCCATGTTTCTAATTTACAGCTCTGGTTCTAGCTTTTCTTCTATCCAACGAAGAAGAAGAGTCTTTGACTCAGAACTAGCGGGCTATACCTTTGTGGGCTTGAATCAGTCATTTCATTTATTTGGTTTTGTTCTCGTGGGCTTGCTGGAAGCTGGGCTCAAAAATTCTGAAACGAAAGAGAACTTCCAAGCAGAGGAGATTGGACGAATTCCATCATTCCCATTCCATTCCCATTCGGCTCCTTCAGTTCCGATTTCCCCAAATCTCTACAAACCCTAAATCTCACTAACCCTATTTCACTAAACAATGTGCCAGTTAAGTGGAATATAATGAGATTTGGCAACCACAAATTCCGCCTAAGGTACGAGCTTTCGCATGGAAACCGATTAACAATATACTACCTACAGGAGGAAACATATTCATATTGGATCAAGTTACTGGAGGCAGTGAGGAGTGCCCTCTTGCGTGCTCAAAGAAACTCAACTCCATATTTTCAGAGTTTGTGGCAGCATTTAAAGGATATGGAAACATACTTCACTTAGCTATCTTTTTAAAGAAGAAGAGATACTGACTTGTGAAGATTGGGTTTGCGCTTTCCAAGAGCTGGAATCAAAAGAGGCGCTGGAGTTGTTCTTGGTTGCCATCTTGTTGATCTGAGATACACGAAATTGTCACTTGTGAAATAAAAAGTAGAAGGAAGAATGGTAAATTGTCGACGGAGTGAATCATTGGTTGAGTATTACAAGAAGCACTGACTGAAAAATCTTACTGCCGGCATGCAGTGATCGATCAGATGGGAACCTCTTGTGATAAACATTTTAATCGTCATAGGATAAGGGATCTTTGATAGCAGTGTTGGGCTTTGGGGTAGTGATAAGGGATGACAAGGCCATGGCTACCAGAGTTTGCAGAGGCGGAGGCTTTCAGTATTAGGATGGAGGTGGATCGCCGGCGTCACTTCCTCCCCGGATTAGTGGAGTCGGATAGCTTGCTAGTTGCTAGTAATCCAGCATTTGCATCGAGATGAGAAGGAGGAAACGGAGATAGCTTGTTTGTCTATGCACTAAAATTCGAGCTCAAGCTTCTTTTGTGGGTGGGCTTCAATAGTTCAATTCAATATTTTATGGGTCGTAAGGCTAATAATGCAACCAACGTAATGGCCCACGCGCTTTGTAATTGATTGTAACAATCACACTCGGGAGCTCATGGAACCACTCAACCACATCTAACGGTAGGGGTGGAAGATTGGGTTGCGAGTTGTGGATAATCCGCAAACCGCAACAACCCGCACCTATTGTGGGTAACCATACACACAAGTTGTGCATAGTGGGTTGGGTTTGGGTAGTAAAATAACAATTTTGTGGTTAGTGGTTATCCACTACGCACCGCGCACCGCAGTTAACCCACAAAATCCATAATAACCACACTAATTATATTTATTTAATGAATTAATTTTATAATATAATAGTATGTGAAAAGTGCGAGGATAAAAATTAAAGTAGCCACCAAATAAAAAAGACACACCTAATCAGTTTTATGTAAGAATTTTTTAGTTTATAGAACACTATAATCGATAGAGTGGAGAATAATGAATTCATTAAAAGTGAACACTTTTTGTAAATTTTATCAATATGTTTTTGCTTTTGTGTGAAAAAAATACAAGATCATATTTAATTGTCATATTTCACCCCTAGTCGGGGAAATATGAAATAACAGCTCTCTGACACAAAAGTTGAATACCAAAATCAAAACGAAAAAATCCCCACGTTGAGTAAGATCGATGTACAAAATTGTATCTCCACGAACAACACAAGTGTATATCACTATAGTCTAGTTACGAATAACAAATACGTTAGTGGCGACTAGAACTCTATGCTTGCAAAGATGGATTTTTGCGGGTAACCACACCCAACCCGCACAAACCCACAGTGGGTAGTGGTTACCCACTAACCACTGCGTTGCGGGTTGTGGATAGCATAATTGTAAATTTGTGGGTGTGGGTACTCGCAAAATGTGGGGCGGGTAACCACACCCACCCCAATTTCCACCCCTATCTAACAGTTTGATCAAATGGAGTATATTATACTTTTGGAGTATACCACTCTTTATCATATATATATGCGTGGTGCTTTCTATCGTACCTTAGGTAAAATCCAGGGTACGACATACCTTTACAAGGAAAACACTATCTAGACCTTGAATTAATCAGATTTCGGGGCATGATGCTATACCCCAACCCTTGATGAATGAACCCTTGGTCTTAATCGTCAAAATCATACTTAGTTTTCATCTGTTAAATTTTAATAAAATGAATACATAGAATATGATAAGTTATAGTATGAACTTGGAATTTTCGGAAGATATTATGAATATTTATGGGGTATTCAAAATAATTATGTATCAATTCGGATGATTAAGAAAATAAAATTAAACATACAATTTGAGTTTAACAAAATACGATAAATTATATTTGTACTAAATAAAGTTAGCACACCATGTATGAATATGATTTTAAAAGTTTTTCACTTAATTTTTTTATTCCATTAGTGGCAATTGAAACTAATTTAATAGGGTTAATTGCATGGTTGGTCATTGAGATTACAAAAAACGTTCATGTTTGGTCACTGAAAATATTTAAATCCAATTTGGTCACTCAAATTAGTTAAATGGTTCAAGTTTGGTCACTCTCCGTTACCTTCCGTCATTTTCGTTAACACCGTCAGTTATTTGCTGACATGGCTAACGGAAACGCCTAATCAGCGAATTTTGACCCCAAAAAATTAAAACAAAACCCTCCGGATCAGCAAATCCCTCTACATGAGTTTCCCCAACCCAGCTTTTGACCCGACTCCACTCCACTCCACTCCCCAACCCAACCCTTTACCCGACTCTTCCCAAACCCATATTCGCCATCTTCCAAGATGGAAGCCAGTGAAGGTCTGCACCTCTCCATCTTCCCCAACCCAATCTTCTTACCCTACCTATTCATCGTTTCCATCAAATCCAGAATTAACACATCAACTAACAAAGTCAACTACAATTAAATCCATAACTCACTCAATAAAACCCAAATAATATTGTGATTTAATTGTAGCTACAACCCAAACAATACTCAAACACCAAACATATCTGAGAAATGATAAAGAACAGAGGCCATTTCGTCATATACCTTGCACGCAATAACAGTTCTCGGCCTCCTTGTGAACGACATCGAGGACGGAATCGATGAGCTCGGCTCCCTCCGTGTAGTAACCTTTTGCCCAGTTGTTCCCGGCGTCGGACTGCTCGAAGACGAAGTTGTCGGGGCAGAAGTTCTAGCCGTAAGAACCAAATCTGATGATGTCCATGGTACCATGCTCCAGATCCATGAGCACGGCGCGAGGGACGTAGCGGCCGCCAAACGCCTCGTTGTAGTAGACATTGATCCTCTTGAGTTGGAGATCGGAGGCCTCATCGCCGTTGTACCTCCCGGTCAGATCGTGCTCGCTGCAGATGACCTCCCAGAATTTTGAGCCGATTTGGTTACCGCACTAGCCGGCCTCGATGTAGAAGAAGGAATGAAGGGTATGGATTTAATTGTAGCTGGCTTTGTTCGTTGATGTGTTAATTCTGGATTTGATGGAAACGATGAACAGGTAGGGGAAGAAGATTGGGTTGGGGAATATGGAGATGTGCACACCTTCACTGGCTTCCATCTTGGAAGATGGCGATTATGGGTTTGGGAAGAGTCGGGTCAAGGGCTGAGTTGGGGAGTGGAGTCGCGTCATGTGCTGGGATGAGGAAACTTATGTGGAGGGATTTGGGAAAAAATCCAAAACTACCACTATAAAAAAAAAATTACAAAAATACCACACATACCCAACAATTTCCAAAAATACCACCCTTCCATACAAAACGCTCCTCGAAGGAGCGGTTATCAAACAAAACGCGCCCCAAAGGCGCGGTTAAAGCGCAAAACGCGCCTCCAAGGCGCGGTTTGACTCTACCTGGCTGTCAAACCGCGTTGCCACGTGGCGGTACATGCAACCGCTGGATGACAGAGCGATCCGACGGCCAAACCGCGCGCCAGCGGGTCGATCAGTCAAACCGCTCCCCCGATGCGCGGTTTGACTGTTGGGGAAACGCTAACCGCGCGCTGGAGGCGCGGTTTTAGGCGGGGTAAAAGGACGAAACCACCCCTCCCTCACGCGATTTTGTCACTATAAACCCCCCCCCCCCCCTTCCCATTTTCTGCACACCAACACACGTTCCCCGCTCTCTCCCTCTAACCCCTCACTCTACCCACCCCCCTCCACACCCGAAAACCTTAGAATTAGTTATTTTTTTGGTTGCGGCTAAGTCCGATCTGCCTTCAAACAACTTTTTCTTTGGTTTTCACTAAAAAACCGTCGAATCTGTGTCCGGATTTGGAAAAAATGGCCCATTTCATCCAAGAAGAGGGCATTTTCTATGATGATTATCAAGCGGTACGTACTCATTTTACCCAATTGTTGTTGTTGTTATAATGATTTATTTAATTTTATACTAATTGATTTATGTTGTTGTTATGCTATCGTAGGTTGGGCCGGATGTTGATATTTACAATCAACGATATTATGTTGATCAAGGACCGATTGATCCGACTGTGTTATATGATCAAGCTAATCATCGTTCAAGAGACGTTTGGAACGACCACAAGGTACATATTATTTATCATCACTTGTAATTTGTATTTTGTTAAAGTAATTTATTTGTTTGTACAATAATTTACTTAATTGTTAATCGTATTGATTATTTTTAATAATTTAAATCAATACAATGCAACACTTATTTAGAATATTTATAAAGAAATGCATGTCTAAGGAAATGGGGACTTAAGCGATCATCATGATCCCCCCATGACCTGGGAAAATCGGGTTCTAAGCGATCCTCGGATCCCCCCTTTTTCTGTCAAAAAGACTGTGTTTCTAAGGAGATGTATACCTCTCCTAAGAGTCTTACGAGTGTACTTGTATTGCTTTAAATTATTGAAAATAATCAATACAATTAACAAAATAATATATTTGATTTTATGTGTATATGTACCAAAGATAATTATAATTAAAATTCGAAAATTAAGTAAGTTATGTTAAAATTAATGTTTATTAGATAATGTATATTTCTCTAAACCAATCTTGATTTAATTAAATTGCATCTTAGAAAATTATTTTAGTTATGTTAAAATTATGTTTATTAGATAATGTACCTTGATTTAATTAATATTGCATCTTATAATATTATTTAGTTATGTTAAAATTAATGTTTATTAGATAATGTACCTTGATTTAATTAATATTGCATCTTATAATATTATTTAGTTATGTTAAAATTAATGTTTATTAGATAATGTATATTTCTATAAAACAACCTTAACTTAATTAATATTGCATCTTATAATATATTTATATATGTATAAATCATCAACTTATAGTGAAATTTAAATTCTTCTCTAGGATGCATACCATATCGGCATCAACATACCAATCTTCATTTTGAATGTGATTGTAGTATGGAATAGGTACACGGTCGCGAGGTACCTCATCACCGTCTGCGTCTGAATCTGGACCAGAATCATCAGCACCTTCCAGCGGATCGGAGCTGTCTGCACTAACTTCGCCTTCCTCTTCTTCAATCTCAGGGTCACTAACTGGACTTGGATTGACCTGTTCTTCCATCTGATTATCATCATGAAAGGCACCTTCACCTTCACCAGCTCTGTAATGGTAGTTGTGGTAACTAACACCGCTTTGATAGAAGTTGTACTCGGGTGGGTACTGGTAGCCTGCTTGTTGGTTGTGATCCGCCTGTTGAGCTTCTTCTTCATATGACGGGAAGGATTGATGATGACCTCCAGTTCCATGATGATACTCCTGCCTCCAACTCGAGTCTTGGAAATCCTGGTGGGGATGATCTTCGTATAATACACTCCCACCGTGGATACCAGATGTTTGGCCATCTCTAGAATGACCTACACCGCCTTCGACGGCGTCAGTGTAACGAACATCTCCGCTTGCTTAATTTTATTGGTGGTCAAAAATTGGACCATGGCATCAACGTCCTCCTGAGTGGTAAGGAGGAATTCCTCATTCCATAGCAACCCGTCATGTCTGTTTGGATATCGATACACCATTTGATCAACTCTTCTAGTGCCATCCATGCAGGTAATCTGAGTGCACATTTGATGGAGCTCTTCAAGCGTCGGTCTCGTACGGACCTTCATTTTATAAAAATTGCTACCGACGTAACTTACACCTTTTTCGGTCTCTTCCGTGTAACCATTCCACCGCAACCCAAGCGTGAACCTTTGGAATGCCATCTGCAATAAAACTGTAATTAAGTTACTAACATAAAATCACAAAGGACAATGAAAAGTAATACAAGAGGGACATGACAATGAAAAGTAATTAAGTTACTAACATAAAATCACAAAGGACAATGAAAAGTAATTAAGTTACTAACATAAAATCACAAAGGGCAATGAAAAGTAATTAAGTTACTAACATAAAATCACAAAGGGCAATGTAAAGTAATACAAAACAAACTTACGAATTAACGTTAATCGCAAAAACTAAATAATTTAAAGGTGCAAAACTGAAATTTGAAGAAGGAAGAGGAGTAGTGTGAAGAATTTGAGTTCTCTCAATCAGCCTTTTATAGGAGAATTTTGCACCACAAACCGCGGGTGGGGGAGCGGTTTTAGGTCTGCCATGCAGCCCCACCCCCTGCATGCCGACATGTCTGCTGTCGGGTGACCAGACACAAACCGCGCCTTGGGGCAGCGGTTTATGTCTGGTGTCGACCACAAACCGCACCTTTAGGCAGCGGTTAATGTGTGGACATGGTAAACCGCGACCTGGAGGGGCGGTTTATCATGCCGACACTAAAACGCTTCCTCTTCAAGCATTTTGTGGTAGGGTTTGCATATAAACCGCTTCTTAGAGGAGCGGTTTTAGCTGGAAAATGAAAACGCGGGCTGACGAGGCGGTTATAATGTAAACTGCTGCCAGTAGGCGCGGTTTGTATATTAACCGCCACTTAGAGGGGCGGTTTTTAATAAAGGGTGGTATTTTTGGAAATTGTTGGGAATGGGTGGTATTTTTTTTTTTAAACAGTGGTAGTTTTGGATTTTTTCCAGGGATTTGCTGATCTGGAGGGTTTTGCTTTAATTTTTTTGGGTCAAAATTTGTTGACTAGGAGTTTCCATTAGCCATGTCAGCAAATAACTGACGGTGTTAATGGAAACTAACGGAAGGTAACGGAGAGTGACCAAGCTTGAACCAATTAACTAATTTGAGTGACCAAGATTGGAGTTAAATATTTTCAGTGACCAAACTTGAACGTTTTTTGTAATCTCAATGACCAACCATGCAATTAACCCTAATTTAATATTCCAAGTTTGGTCACCGCCATTTACATTCTTTTAGACTCATCTAACGACGTTAGTTTGTTATGACGTCGCTACGAGAATTGCCGACTCACCCAAATTTAACCTATAAAAATTAAAAAGCGGCCCGCCACTTCATAAAACATGCAACATCAGAAACCCTAACCCAACCCGTGCCCTAGCCATTCCTTCTTGACCCGTTTAGCCTTAAAAAATGCCCCAATTGAATCTACTTCGCAACCCCAATCCACCTTAATGCGACAACAAATTGGAAGATAACGGTCATTGGCCAAATTTGTAATATTGAATTAATTTCAGTGACCATTAATGATAAAAAAATTATGTGACAAACGTGAAATAACTTAGTAATATAAGCAAACTTGCAATTTGCTCATTTTTATATATGGCCTAATTTCATATGATAAGTTAGTTGCTACTCTATATTCATTAATCATGCATTTAATATAATTCATCAAATATGTGGTGATTAGTATAAATGTTACTAAAAATCAGATTCAAGGATGACTTCTCATTTGAAAAACGTCCAAAATTCTACCAAGACCTCTCAAATGTGTAAATAATTATTTTGAGTGCAATGAAAAAGTTCAAGATAAACTTTTACTATACTTAGAACTTCAAGAGGAGGAAAATAACTATTGATCCATATTTTTCCTAGATATCATTGGTACTTTGTAAATTTCTTGATGAGCAGTATTTTTATTAATTTATAATTATGAATTATAAAATTGAAAATGCATGTGTGTATGTAGTTGGTTCTATACAATTGTTATCATATTATTTTATCACATTTTCTCATTTTTTATATTGACTCAAGTTGGGACCGAAGAAATTATTATTAAGAAAATCCCTCTCTCTCTCTTCTTTCTCTATCCTCTCTCGTTCTCTATTCAAAATCCTTAATTTGATGGCTGCCTCGCTGTCGGCTGGGAAGCCGGCAGGCGAGGGCTCCTCCTGGGCGAGCCTATTCTCGGTGGCGTCGGAAAAGCGCCTCACCTATCGGCCACCGGAGAGGATTAAGGACAGATTTCGGA